AATGTGGAGAGGCTATTTGCTAATGTGGAGAGGCTATTTGCTAATGTGGAGAGGCTATTTGCTAATGTGGAGAGGCTTTTTGCCAATATTGGGAGGCTTTTTGCTTTAGAGTTGTTTTGTTGTATAGTGTTTTCCATAGTTGCTTCGCTTTTCAGGTTTAAAGAAGCTTTCACAACTTGCGCGCCTGGGGAACAAGTCATGTAAGTGAAGTAATATAAGGAACCTGGGAGCCTCTGATATACTGAAACAAAAAACAGAAACGTGAAGAGAAGAGATACAAAGAGATTCAGGGAGAAGGAAAGACGTGTCACTTTGACCTTTCCCCTTCACTTCTTTTGAACCCTCTCCCCCAATAAGCTGCGCAAACGTGACCTGGCACTTTTCTCACTGCGCTCACAGAGTCGTGTTTTCTGAACCCCAGCCATAAGATGCAACACCCAGGTAGTCCCAGGCTGCCTCACGTCAGCTAAGCTGTAAGCTCCAGAACAGGTCCAGAACGCATTCTGGATTTGGAGCCACCCAGGACAAGATCCAAGGGACAATGGCCAGAAACACCAAACCCTGGACAATAGAGTTCGCTATAGATTGCTACTTGTAATTAGTTGCAATGTGTGACTAGCAACTAGAATGGCCCAAACCCCTGGCTAAGGCTCTTGTCATGCCAAATGCTAAAGTTTCAAAATCAATACGCAGCTACTTCTTTGTCCTTTGCCGTTTGGCGGGAACTTTCTCAGCGGCTTTCTCAGCTTTCTCTGAGGCGTTGTTCTTTGGTGGTTTCCTGGGACCGGGCAACACATAGAACATTAAACATTGGAAACTCAGTGAAACCAGTGAAGACCTTGGCCTGATATAGAATTGATGGTATGACGATATGATAGATCATAGACTCATTAGATAATAAGATAATGATAATTGTCTAGTCTAGCAGTCTAGCTATGAATCTATGAATGAATTGTATTTTACCTTCGGTAATATGCAAAAAAAACTGTAAAACTACAAAAACAAAAACATGTTTGTCTATAGGTAGTGGTGTGGTGTCAGTGTTGAGTCAGGGGATTTCAAAACTGAACCATAGGGACCACAGAAGTCACAAAGCCTATGATGTGATATGCGTTAGCCAGTCTGCCGTCTATAAGTCTACAAGTCAACCAAACTATGATCTGAGTGGGTCATGGAGTCCTCATTCCAAATCTGTCCCCAATATATAACCAGTCTCAGTCTCTCAAATCTCAGTTCACATACTAAGCACATGACTCAAACCTCAAAACACAAAACCTGAACCACATTCCACAAACACCAATTGAAATTGTTTGCAATGCAGGATCTTCTCAGAGGTGATCTCTTCGATCTTCGTCCGTAAGCGTTGGGGGAGATCTGTGGGGCTTGTCCCCAACTTTCTGGCCATGAAAGCGCAAACCCTGCGGTAAGAATTGAGCAATGGTTGGTTCTTCTCTGGGTTGATGACCAAGTCAGCGCACATCATGCAGGACACTGTCTTCGCAGTGGTGTCTGCATGCTCCTGCTAGTGACAGTGGTGAACACAAACTTGGTATGGTTTGGTATGCATTCTGTTTGCACAAGTCCTGAAAGTTGTTTGAATGGAAAGACTGACTTGAACAGCGCGACACTTTACCAGATGACTCGACCAAATGACTGAATTGAAGGACCTGTTTGCTTCTCTGCACCTTTTGAGCCCTAGAGCAAATGTTTACATACAAACTGCAAACTCACCTGATCTGAAATACCAGTCAACAGTCAACACTACACTAAGCGCAAACAATCCGGTGGATGAAAGCAGTCCGAGTCCTCCAGCTTCCGAACATTGTATTGCACCTGCGTCAAGGTCCAAGTCAACTTGGTATGTGCCCGACATCCTGCTTTGACAGCAGCAACTCCCTTCAGCACGTCAACCTTCTTCAGCATGTCAAGCCTAAGGTCCACCATTTTCTCAGTCTCCTGGTCGACTGATTTCGACTGATCGAACATCCACTTGACCTCCTTGATTTTGGATTCATCCCAGAACTCCGCAACATCCAGGATGGGCCTGAAACCAAACCACAAACATGATGCGATGCTGACCTGACCCTTAACTTAAATTGTGTTTGTTTGTGGTTATCTGAAAATTTCACTGGACATGTGACATGTGCCACTAGGAACTAGCCCAGTCAGTCTCAGTGTACGAAAAAGAACTGGCCACGGACAAATGTTGGCGTCTTGACAGTAGTGCAACGCACGCTGTAGTGGGTCATAGTGGCAGAGCACTGTATGGCCATAGGCATAGCCATGGCCTAGCCTATATAGCCTCAGCCTACGTAAGGAGTACTACAGTCCTACTGTCCTACCTATAGCCTGTAGCCGCCTTCCGACTAAACTATAGATGCCAAATGCCAAAAGCCCTATAGCTAGCCTATAGCCTATAGCTACAAAGTCACTACAATCAAGCCAAGCAGTCCGAGTCAATCCTGTCCCTGCAAACTGGCAAAGTGTTTGTTTGCAAGCGCTCTACTCTATATGTGCAAAACATCAACTCGATGGCCTGAAGCGTGCGAGGCTTTCACTCCAATCAGAGAGCTTCATGGACGTGTCATCGAGATCAATTTTCAGCACGTCCAAGACCTTGTCCAAGTAGGCCTTGTGAGCTGGGCCACAGGAAGGTAGCATGGCCGCAAGCAAAGTGGAGTCTGTGGAAGCCACAGCCACAATCTCACCCATGCACTTGGCCAAACCCGCAATGTCGTCTGAGATGCGCTCCTCAGAAATGGCCTTGAAAGTGCTGGCTTTTGCCAAGATTTCGAAACACGACGCCAGCTTTCCATGGCAATGCGGGAAGCCCTGACAAATCTTGTAAGCCTCCTTTTCACCACTGTTCTGTGCAGCACTCTTGAGGAGTGAGAAGCCAATCTCTTCTGTCAGGAGATCAAGTCTTCCTGTGGCACCCTTCAACGCCTCTGCCCAAGATGGGTTGGACCGAAGCTTCCGGCACTGTTGATCCAACTCATGTCGCAATGTCAGTGCAGCAAACATCCGCTTCGAGGACTCATGTTTTTCAAATGCCTCCAGCTTCTCCAGAATGATCACCAACTGATACCAGGTCGCACTTTCAACCCTCAAGAACGCAGACCAAAGGTGTCCTCAAAGCAATGGAAATGAATGGGTCGAGGATTGAGGATGGGGTCAGATGGAATTACACACAGACTGACTGCACCCGCGACAAATTCTGAGTCCCGCTCCCGCTGGATTAGATCCGAGACTGTCCCAACCCCAGTCCTTTGATTGACAAGTTGGACCAAAAGTCTTTGAGCTTGTCTGAAGAAGCCAACAGCAAAGAAGTCTCATCTGCCGACTCTGGTGGCTGCTGCCACTGCAAGGACAGCCAACCTGTGAACTCTGACATGATCTCGGCTGGACAGATCTTCTCCTCAACTGTGGCCTTAATTTGGTCCTTGAGGCCAGACATTTGCTCTTGCAAATCCTTGTCCGCAATGTTGATCAACACGTCTTGGTAGGACTTGACAGCGGTAATCTTTGCCATCAACTCCGTGTTGAGTGTCACCTCTGGCAAGGTCAATGCATCAAGTAGTACTTTACCTTTCTCCAGAAGTTCTGTGGATTTGTCACGCGCTTGGTCAGCTGTGAGGGCTGACTTCGCAACTTGAGTGGCAAGGGCCCAAAGTCTCCTGGATGCGGCTGTGAGTGCGCGCTTCATTGGTTCTCCCCACAAGCATCTCCCGCACAAGTTCATAAATATTTCAATATAGACGACTATAGATTATATCAATTATATTATTATATATTCACGACACTCCCCGCAATTCAACAAATTTGAGGTGGATGTTACAACAAACAGTGCAAACATGATTTTTGGCAAGTCAGTTCTTCAAAGTGCCATTGGTTCTGAACACCAAGTTCAGCCGCGCAGAGAACTTGTCTGATTCAGAAATGCAAGTCCGCAACTCTTGCTTCTCAGATTCGGGAAGAGAATTGTGTGGCATCTCATTCTCTGATACATAGCGGCATGCGCACATCTTCTGAAGGTCGGTGAGGACAGCCAATGACATGCCAGACTGGTTTGTAAAGCCCCAAGTGTTCTCCTTGTTCAGAACCATCATGGCTTTCGAGTCCTCGCTCTTGTCAAACCTGGATGGAGCAAAGTCAGGACAATGAACATATACTCAAAATCTAATCATATCAATCATATCAATCAAATCATATCATTCAAAAACTCATATCATATCATGTCATTACTTTACAATTTGATTTGATGTCTTTAAACACATGAGTCTGGCTGCTGGCCTCAATACGTCCATGGCATGACAATGCTCTGGCAAAGACTCCAGGATGCACAGTGTAACCTCTGTCGTGGGCGTGCGCATTTTGTCAACAAAGGTGTTGAACAAAGAAGCCTGGATCGCCAGCAAGTGGTCCTGGTTGTATCCTTTCTCTGCCAAAGAGCCTAATGTGAACATCTTCTCGGCATCTTGGTTCGTCTGCAAGGAGAGGTACTTGAAGAAGAGTGCTCTTTCGTCTTTGGTGATGATGTCAGAAGAGTTTTCTCCATCAGCAGTCGACATGCTAGCCTCCCAGTGTGACACTCACCTTATGTATGTTTGCCAAAACAATTCGGCTAATCAGTGACAATGGACAACAGTATATACAGGAGGACTGGAGGGCTCCTCTCTAAATCAAAAGCAAAATCATACAGTGACCGTGACAGTCACGTGACCTGTCTATGTTTTATTCATGTTGATTCATTGTCCATTTTTGGAGTCAAGTCAAGTTACAGTAAATATATAATATAATATTATTGTTATCTATAAAACATGTATAACAAAAACTTTTATTTGAGTTTTGAACCGTTGCATTCACAGGTCATGGCCCTGACTCCTGACTCTGACTGAGACGCGTGACTCGCACTGCGTGCCTCCAACACAATCTTTCCAATATCTGTGGCAAAGGTCTTGACACAGTCAGGTGATTGGCTTGGCAAGTGCTCAGTCAAGCTAGATGCATTGACTTTCAATGCCAGCAAGACCTCACTGGGGATTGCACCCTCCACACGCTTCAGCCGAGCGACCAATTCGGCCCAAAAGCCCACACTTTCAGCAAGCTTCTTCAAGGAGTCCTTTGCTGACTTAACTTCCTCTGTCTCCTCAAACTTTTCAAGCAGCGCGACCTTGTCAAGAGCTTTGGCAACCTTTTGGTCAGCAGATGCGGCCGTTTGGGAATGCTGCCAAAAATATACTGGCGTCAAGGTCTCCAAGGACTTCCTGAGGGAGTCTGCTTGGGCCAAGAGACGTTTGGAGCCACCGCCACCATTGGCATTGACAGAGCTGGCAGTCTCTGTGCCATCTGTAGAACTCATGGGTTCTGCTGGCGCAGTTCTCTTGGGAATTTTCTTCGGAGCTGCCTTTGCCTTCTTCTTCGCGATTGGTTTCGACTTGAGGCCAAACCCCGAGTCCTCTGAATCTGAAGCATCGCCCTTGTCTTGTTCTTCGGGTTCCTCTTCAACGCTCTCTGCCTCTTCCATCATAGCAGCGGCCTCCTCCTGAAAGGACATTGAACAGTCAAACTTACCACTGCATGCCACATGTCACGTCAGTGAATTCATTGAGAAAGCAGAACAAAGGAGCTGTGGCTACAATGACATCTCATCCGTCTATAAGTCAGTCTCAGTGGCAACAATGAGATGAGGAACATATTGACAAAATCAAATGTTATGTACTGGACTGTACTGTATCGCCGTCGCCGTATACCACCATATAATAATACAATAATATATCAATAATCTATGTGTGAAGTAACCACATTCGTTGCATCTGTCCTTGGTCTGCCCTTCAACTTCCAATCCATCCATGTTCTTCTCATGCTCGGCCTCTTGGGCGTCCTTGTTTGTGTGCTCTGATTGCCTCTCCCTTGTCGTCGCCATCCTTTGCCCTATGACCACCTTCTTTTTGCCACTCTCTGGCATGATCAAGACTCCGTCTACTCCCGTTGGATCCTCGCACGTCGGTATAGAGAAAGAACTTGTTGAACAGAGTATGTGATATGATATGTGGAACAGTATCTGATCTCTATTGAGAGTTGAAAGTCGAAAGTAAGAATCAGAGTTAGTAATGACTGACTCATGACTCATGACTTTGGATTGCTATTTGATGTCATGATTCATGATTGAAACTTAACACTAACACGACTTGAAATTCACAGACACAAATGTTCGTTTTGCAGATACCCCCTCCTTTTGTATCTTGAGCCCTTTCTTTTCCAGCAAAGCTTTCTTTTGAGCAGCAGATCTCAATTTACGCTTGCTTTCAGCATCAGCGTTGGCCTCAAAATACTCCTTTACGGGAACCCATTCTGCCTCCTGCAACAATAGAATGATCAATCAACAGTTCGAAGTTCAAGGGGTGTCTCAAAACCTACTGCGGTTTCGAAGAAAAGTCAGTCCAGTCGTGTCAGCAGAATTAGTGAAAGTCTTCTGTTCTTACAGAGTGCAGGAGTGCCAAAAATCAGACCACCTCTCCTGGGAGAAGTCCACATACTTGGAATTGGTTTTGGTCACATACATCTTGACGTCAACAACTTCATGGCGTGGACGAGCACGCGGGTTTCTGACCATTGCGATGACATGTCGACGTCTCAAACTCCTGAACCTGTAGCAAATGAGTCAGGGTCATGCCAGGTGCTCATGTAATTTTACTGGCTGGCAGCCAACTGCCACCGTGAACAAACCCTAACATGTCACTGAACACAACTGACAACAACCAAGAAACTTGGCGGCCAAAGCAGGAGACTTGTGTTTGAGTCGCAAGAACTCACGCATCACAACGCCTTTGAAAGAGCCCCGCTTTATGTACATGCACTTGAGGCACGTCGTTGAGTTATACCCGCCATCTCCTGATTTGGACGCCTGCACCAGGCATGTTCCAGCATCATCCGGTGCATCCTGCGCATCCAAATCAATCTTGGTTTCTGAATATAAAGGTCTGGAATGGTTTACCCACAGCCTAGAGCCTACAGATCGAATCCGACAGCATATAGGCCGGCATATGGCATACAGCGTTACAGTGCAGCAAAAGTAGCACTAATTGAATTGAATGTTATTGCCACTGGCCCATAGCCATTGTCTGCCAAAAAGCGAATCAACCGCAACCGCAACAACAGAGAACTGACTTGAGGACAAGATTACAGTCAGAATGAAAACATACAGAGACAGGTTTCGGATTGCAGGATTGGTAGGATTGAGAGTATTCAACCCACATAGTACATCTTTTCTAGTCTAGTCCTTGTCCGGCGAACCATACTCTTGCTCGCAAAGTGGGCAAACATTGTCTGGGAAATCTGGAAGTGGTTCTTGATCACTCATCTCATCCCCACTGGCTGCGGCTTCCATAGTCGCATCAGGACGTTCAGCCATGTTAGCTGGCGTTGCAAACAAAGTGCAGCCTATAGCTGTCAGCAACTCTTTGCCGGCGTCAAAAGCTTGAGATCTTTTGCAAGCGAGATTGATAGACAAAACTTGACAAAACAAATCATTGCTCATGACTCATGACGTGGTTTTAAAGTCACTAGACATGTTGGTCTGTTAGTCTGAGCTAGTCTGTACAGTCTCAGTCTCAGAGTCCAAAACTCAGTCAACACAAACACTGTTTGACAAAGCTGCCAAAAAGGAATGCACAGCATGCTTCTGAAGGAGTCGATCAGTCACTTGTCATTGACCAAAAACGACCCGATTCTGAAAGAAAGCAAAGGCCAACACAAAAAGTTAAAAAAACGGAAACAACAGTCTCAGTCTGAGACTGTCTTTCTTTATTTTCGCGCTTTTGCCCCAGGTTCTAGTGATGACTACCCTGTAAGTTGCAGCATTGACTGTCGGCAATGCAGCCAAACTTCAAACAAAAAGCAGCCACTGTGTGTGCAGTGGCTTTTCTTCACAGAGGCACTCTATAGGCCCCATGGAATAGTGTTATCACGAGAGGTCAGGCGGGACAGCCAATTGGGAGCAGGCAGTGCCCAATCATCCTCGTCGATCCAACCATTCAAGCTTTCATCGAGCCACTGATCTTCTTCAATGGGAAAATTACCATGGTGCTGGAAAGTCAGAAGACGATCTGGCGGCATCATCTTCAACTTTTTGGGCAGGAGGACAGACAAAATGCCAGTCATGATGGCCCCAGCGACTGGAATGCTCCATCCGTCCCCTGATCATTATATGAGTCATGCATGAGCCCATTCAATGACTGACTCACTACTCTTGGACGACCTTTACACTTCTCATGATGAGGTGTTGAAAATTGAACGACTGGAAGACCGGACCAGACGACCAGACCATTCCCCGTTCTGTTCCATGCTTCGTACTGTACATCTTTTTACAATTACAATGTATCACTGCTGTATCAGCAAAACTCCTTTCAGACAAAGCTGCCAGCCAACTTGTTCATGTCACGGTAGGTCATGTCATCCAGCTGAAGTTGCGCAATGTTCCACCCCTGCAACAGCAGCAAGTCCTTCTGGCAAACACAAACAAATGACAAGAGCGACAAAGAAACTTGATTTGATTGTATTATTGTACTAGCAGACTAGGACTAGGACAGTGTGTTTACAGTCCAGTCATCTGAATCTTGCGTGTATCTTGAAGTAGTGATTAAGATGACAACGCACATGAGCAAACTCGCGAACTCGGGAAATTGAAAGTGATTCCAACAGTCA